GGGCTCCACCGTCGTGCGCCGCCTCCTCGGCGCTCCGCTCCCCTCGTGGCGTTTGCTGCGACTTCTTGCCCGGTGACCTGTGGAGGACGAGGCAACAGCATCGTGTAACAGCCGCCCTGGGCTCTTCCCGCAGGGAGACGCATCTTTGGCCAGAGAGGGAGATCCTGGCACTGCAGGTCCAGGTGTGCACGTTTTCTGTGCATTACTCGTTCGTGGGATGTCCAGTTTGCACTGTCCTCGTGGCTTCGGTTTATCCTTGTTGGGATCAAAGCGTTCTAAATCGGTAGAACAGGCTCTGTCACAGCAGGCTGATGCTGGGCAACTTGTCAGTGATGAGGGTGAGGGGAAAAGGCAAACTGTGGGCCAAGATTTCTTCGCTTATAGAAAGATGGGTCAAAGAGCAGCAAATACTGTTACTGGATGACACAGAAGTCTCATTTTGTTTTCATTATTCAAAGCGATGTTCAGCATTGAAAAGACCATCGTCCCTCTTCCCATCCCTCTTGTTCCAGGCACATCTTCGTCCGCTTCCCAGGAAATTTACTCAGGTGGCAGTGTGCAGCTCTGGTCCGATTACCTCAAGGTGCCGTTGCATCCCAAAAGCGTCTACGTCGTCCGTCAGTACATGCACGATGGGTATGTCCTCAAGGTTTGCTTCAGAATCTGTTGTCCAGAAGTACCCGATCTTTGTTTTGCCTTCAAGGAAAACTTAAGACAGGATCACTATAAGCTCCCCCCCCCTATTTTCTTAGGGTATGTGGTTGTCTGGAAGCCTTTGGACAAGGTGAAAGTCTCCTGCAGGATCCTGGCTGCATAGAGGAGTTGGAAGATAGGTTGCATTTTTACGTTGAAGAGTGCGATTACTTGCAGGTTTGATGGCCTGGTCCAAACTCACGTTTCTTGAAATAAACTTTGTTCAAGATTCAGTAGAAGCTCAGATGCTGCCATGATTTTTACACAGGGGTTTCAAGTCCTCTGCGATCTACACAATGGATTCTCTGGAGTTGGTGCCAAGGTGACAGAACTGATCTGCGACGAATATTCAGGAAAAGGAATCCTGACCTGGGGCTTGACTCCAGTCATGAGTGACATGGCAGTGAGTAAACAAGGGGGAAAAACAACAGGTGATGCTTTCATGCCCAGCCGGGTTTAGATCGTCGCTTGTTCGCCTCTTCAAGACTCTTAACTGATTGGATTTTGTTTCCCCCAGGATTACCAGAAGAACGTGTACAGACTGATGAACACAGCCCTTGGAATTGTCCATCTCTCCAGTCACAGCTCCCTCTTTTGCCCTATGTCACTCAGTGGGAGTCTAGGAATCAGGCCGCAACCTCCCATCACTTTTCCGTATATAAACTACGACGTATGTACTGTAGAGGGGTTCACCCAGGCATAGCACCTGCCTCTGCTAGCTTTCAGCTCTTCCAGATCTAACCCTCTCTAAAAGTGCTTTCTGCATCTGTGTACTTTTAGCACTGTTTTGTCATGAGGGTGTTTGCTAAACAGGGACTTTTTTCCTTCTTTTTCACTTTTAGCAGAGACTTGGCTGCCAACTTTTCATTCCCAGTTTAACTGCATTTAAAAACAACACATTTCCTTTTTTGCAGCCTTTCCATTGGTGTACTGCCTTCAGTTTTGGCACTGGAAAAAAATGATTTACTGCATTATTATTCATCTGCAGAGTATGTAACTCTAGCCTTGTCTGAGCACTAAGAAGCTGCTGACAAGAAAAACTGGCAACAGGTCATTGGTCAGCAAACAGCTGACTTCCAAAACCTGAAATTAAACACAGCTTGTATAAAAAATAGAATTTACAGTATGCTTAAGTTAAATATACAAAAATTGGTTAAGGATCAGAGTTTAACTTGTCCTGTCTTTCATTTGTCTCCCTCCATAGGCATCACTTAACTACCACAGCAGTGCAATTTTGGCAGCAGCACTTGATACCCTCACTGCTCCTTACCGACTCTGCTCCTCTCAGGGATCCATGACGCACCTTGCTGAAACACTTAACTTCTCTGGGAGAAAGGTAAGGACATGGTGAACAGCAGCCTTCCCTCCTTCCAGCTCTTAACTGAACTACTGCTGTAGGGCAAGAGCTGGCCTTCCACTTCACATCCACGTGCACACTCACAGCGGCATGTGGGGAGTATGCTCTAGGTTGTGATTTGTCACCCCCCTCTCTGACTCAGGTGGTGGCTGCGTGGGCTTCCGTTCCCTTTCCTGCGCTGCAGGGCTACTCGCTTCCTGATACTTTATGCACCTATCAGCAGGACGTGCCCTGGAAGCTTCTGTCTTCATGTAGGGAGAAAAAGGTCAGCTGCTGTTTCGCCCAGTCTGTTGTGCTACGAGGAATTTGCAAAGAACATTCCATCAGGTAATCAGCATTTGAACTGCACTGTTCCCTTCAGAACTCTGGCACTCTCAACAGAAATGATTCCTAACAAAAGCCATTCACAGTCCTTCTGTTGGGAGTGTCAGCTGAATGGCAACCAAAAAGTCTAGTCACCTGGCGAGTTATATGCTACTAACTTGAGAACAAAACAGGTAAAAAGCCCTTGACACTTTCAACCAAGTCCTCTGGCAAACCAGGAACTTCCTTTCTTTGCAGCAGCTGTCCTGGCAAGCAGCCCACTTCTCCACTCCATGCTTGTGAGAACACAGAGCAGGCTCTGCAGCACTACCTGCACACCGTGTTTCCGGGGGCATTCAGGTTGGTAATGGTCCATTTTACAGACTAGGGAACGGAAGGTAGAGTGAATTTTGGGTAACTTTATTCGCCATCTTCCTTACAGCACATCCCACGTGCTTGAGCAGCCATGTAGTACTCTACCTCCATACCCTCAGTTTTTCAGTCCTCTTCTCACCAGACAAGGCTTCCTCCTGGACAAACCTCCCAGTTATTCTTCAGCAGGTAATAAGTGGCCCTTAAACTTGGCTTACAACAGGAAGAGATCATGTGGGGGCAGTACAGTCTAACAGGTAAAAGAATTTAAAAAAGAAACCCCATGACACTTGTGAGTGTTCAAAGGGCAAAAATTATAAGCGTTAAGCAATGCTTATGCTACAGTGAGTTCAAGCAAAGCAACTGCTTGTCTTGTAAAGTAGAATAGGGTAGGGAAACAAATCCTGATTGGTTTATTTAAACAAAGATGTTTTTCTCTGCAGGTGTTGAAAGCATCCCTGTACTAGCAGCTCTGCAGTCTTCACCAGTTCTGCACACACTCCTCTACAGCTTATACAAGGATCTACGGAAGCTGAACACACGACGATGGGCCAGCTTCTTTGCTGCTGGAGTTGAACAGGACAACTTCCAGGATGCCTTAGAGGAGCTGAGAACTCTATCCCAGTGCTATGAAGTGGGGTTTGAAGCAGATGAATCTGAAGATGAAGCAGATTTAGACTAACCCACCTTTATTACTTAGAGAGCAGAAGTAAGATCTTCAAGGTCACTTTCAAAATAAAAATGGCCTAACTGCTACTTCCTTTTCATTTCAGCGAAGTCCTGTTACTAAGGCTGGCCTGTGTCGTCCAGCTACTTGCAGTTTTGTTGTAAAGGAGGAAAGCTGCTTTTTGGGGGACTGGTTTTGTATGTTTGTGTTTTTATAAAAACTTTGTAAAGTAAATTGCCTCTGCCTGTTAGAATAAGACCACACAATAAATACAGAATCTGGGTTGTAACTTTCCCGCATACAATCAACACAAGCAAAAAAACTTAGCAAAAAAAATCATGTGTTTGTTCCACATGAAAACAGACATCTTATGATACAGTATTTACATGTTCTTTTCAAAGGCTGGCGGCCCAGAGTGAGGTCAGTGTGCGCAAGCATCGCTTCTGTCATTTCATTGTTGAAGCTCCCCAGGTGTAGACGCTAGAGGACGTTCCCTAGTCTTACTTCTTCCTTCATTCCTTTAGTTTGCTACAGACATAGAAGTCTAGCAGGCAAGTGAACAACAAGGTGTTACCTTAAGTACCTGTGCAAACATTCTTCCTTTATCCACAGCACCTGTCTAGCAGCAAACTGGCAAACAACTCTCGTGATGCAGTCAGTCGCTTATGAAGCCACAAAAACTAGTCATCAGGTTCTTCCTCTGAAAGCAGAAGATCCTTATCTGACAACTGGTCGGTGTTGCTGGTGCTAGTTGCATCCTCCTCATCTTCAGAGCTCCCATCACAGGATGTATGAAACAGCCTCATCAGCTCTCTGAACCTGTGAGATACCTGAAGAACAAGGGAGGTCTGCAATGAGTAAAGACCTAAAAGGTGGTATGGAATGGAGATACCATATTGTAAAGTTTGAGGCATTTTGGCTTTTACATCAGAAAACCCCACCTCCCTAAATCACATTTTATGCAAGATTCAACCATAAGGGGAAAGAGAAATGGAAGAGGATGGGTTGTTTTGTTTTCTTTGGAAGAACAACTACATTCTACTGCCTTGCAGGTAAAAAACTGTCAGTTTGGGAAGACTCCCAGCCGGTAATGTGGGAAGGTTAAGAGACAAAACCCAACAGGTTCCTTGTGGTGAAGTAGAAGGTTGCAGACCCAAGTAGCAGTTACTGAAACAATTCTGGTACCAAAGAAGCCTTGAATTTCAATGGTAGTGTTGTGAAAAGGGGCATGGCAGCTGTGATTTTTTTGCTCCAGCAGAACACATGGGGGTTTGGTTCAGCTTTGTTTCTTTTATTTGCAACTGGGATTATTTTTATTTGATGCAGCATCAAATTAAAGTTAAGTCTGGGAGACTAACATGTCAGCAAACCTCCACCTTTCCTGTCTTCCTTCCCACCCCATTTGCTGTGGCAGATAGAAGCTTTTCCACAACAGCCCCTCACCTCACTAGCAGTCTTGTTGCCCAGTTTCTGTGAGATAGCGTGGAAGGTTTCCAGATGGGCTCCTTTCTCCTGGCAGGTGGTGAGGATGACTCTGTCAGCCTCCCTAGGGAACAGCAGAAGAGCTATGAAAGCGGCCAAAAACAAGTACTTCAACCACCACAAGCCCAAGAGGCCTGTTCCCAGGCAAAGGTAACAATCACAGGGCAAGGCTTGTTCCTGTGCTAGTATAACCATTACCAATCACAGGACACATCTTGAAGCAGAGCTGCACTTGGCCTGTTTTAAGCTTTTTAAATGGAAAAAAAAATTCTTTGCCAGCCTCAAGTACTACAATAATTACAGCACTGTGAGCAGACCTCACCTCTCCTAGGACCAGGATGGCAGCTATGATGGACTGTGGTTAGAGGAAACAAGGCAAGAATATTCAAAGGGGGAGAACACACTAGAAAATGGGAATAAAAAAATAAAATAAAGAATACTCTATAATAGGAAAGCTGAAGCCAAATGCACAAAGCACGTAAGAGACAGTTCCAGATGATATACCTGGTCCAGAGGACAACCTTCTCCCCAGTCGAGCTGACTTTGCTGTTCTTGGCACACACTGTTGCTTCAGTGACTCGCTGCTGCTGCTGCTCCTCTTCCTTCTGGCCCAGGGAGGCAGTAACTGCTCTACATCCTAGCTGCTCAGAATGCTGATGCACCTGGAAGCAGCTGTTTGTGTTTGACTTTAATCTGCTCTCAGGAAAATTTCCAGTGCAGCCTGTATCAACTGTTTCCAAAATGCAGTTATCGGGGGGCTGTGAGCTGCAGCTCTTACGCAGCGTTGGTTTTCTATCAGCTGCTACCCAACCCTGCTTGGCTTCAGGTTTTCCTTCCAGATGCAAAGGTGGTCCCTCAAACTCTTTCACACCTGATTTCGAAGCATGACCAAAACCAGTGAGCTTATCCGATAGATCAGAATGGAGTCCTTCAGTCTGACCTGAACTCTTTCCAGAAGAGGAACTAGGTCCCATTAAGCCTTTTACTGTAGCACAATGAGAAGACAGCAGCAGGTCTCTATTCAGCCCAAGGGAAGCATCTGCATTTCCTTGATCTTGCTGGTTTGGCTCCTCACTCTCACTTCCTGGGGTGCAAGGGCAGTCTTTGGTTTCTTGAGGTAGTTTTAGGGTAGCTTTTGGTAGATGTGTCCATCCAGGGCCAGTGGCAGATAAGTCACTGTCCTTTGCAGTATTCACAACAGCACCGACACCTGCTTCTTGAACCTGGTTATCGGGCACTGCAGCTTTTTCAGAAGATGCATGTCTGCTGGAGACAGTCTTTCCTTCCAGGTGGGATCCTGATAAAAACCCAAACAAGTTGAGACTAGTTGTTAGTAAGAAAAACTGGAGGCTTTATTAATTTACTTTTTAAGAGATTTCCCCCCTCTCCCATTATTCTAGAGCACAATGCTGTATATGAGAACACAGTTTGGGAGCAGCTTTGTAATTCTATCCACAGTTTACCCATCCGGTACATCCAAGAAGTCAGTCTGCAGCCCCTTTTCTTCACCACTGTGGGTTACTACAACCAGCTGCTATGTGAAGTAATGAATATGTGAAAAAGCTGAGAACAGAATTCCCAGGCAAAACAGATGTTGCTGCTCCTGGCACCCTATTTACGAACCTATAACACTGTAAACTATACATCAGGTTGTGTACATTTAAACCACTATACTGAACCTTTGCATTGTCTCCTCGAGTGGCATTAACTGAGACGTGGCTACTGGTGGAAGGGAGACATCTTTCAGGTTGTTTATCCTACAATAATCACATTTCCCCTTGTCTGTCCCAGACTAAAAGAAAGACAAGCAATGTGAAGGAGATAATGAAAAGGGAGATTAGCGAGACGGTGATACCGAATCGCTGGACTAAAATGAGAACTGGAAAAAAGTATCATGGACTGGTAGTACTGGCAATCAAATTAGTATGCTAGCAAGAGAAACTTAAATGGTACAATCATTCTGAAAAGGGGAGACTATTTCTCTAGTCAGGAGAGCTTCTTCTGGAAGGGGATGCTCTATACAGGATGCTCTAAACATGCACACCAGTAAATGAACACAAGACCATAAAAAAAAAGGATGATTAGAAGTTCTCGTAATCTCAGTAATTTTGCATTAGGAAGTCCTATACCTATTTTCATTTGTGTGAACCAATTTGGAGATGAATGATACACCTGTCTGTACACAACACTTTCACATACCTGAAGCCAGAGATTCCACTTTCCTCAATACAGGTTTTGTTCTGCTTTGGACATCCTCCCCCTCATCTCTGTTCTCCACGCCTTCTTCTGCAGGTTCCTTAGACATTCCAGAATCCTTCCCTTCAGGCTGAGGACTTGGTTCTTGCTGAACAAGACCTGCAGTCAGCTCTTGAGAATCTTTATTTTTATAAAATTTGTTTTCACACACCTGCCAATCAGTATATAGGCATACAATTACGGATGTGGTAAGTCAATCCAAGCCCAACACCTCAGCCTTGGCATCCAAAGGATTCCTTGACCCTGACAAAGGCTTTGGTTTGGCAATATATTTGCATTTAAAAAGCTGAATCTTTTCTGTTGTTATGAATAGGCACAGGTTTGGCATTTTTTTTTTTCACATAGTGGACACACAAGCACCTTCCACTAAAAAAGCTTATTCTTAACTCCAGAGAACATCAAAAATAACACTATTTAGCATAGCAAGGAGGGATAATAGAAAGTGAGCA